TCAAGTAGCCTAGCTACATTTCCACCCACGGAGAGATTCGAACACCTGCATGTTGACATCGTTGGACTATTACCTACTTCAACGCAAGGACATCGTTACCTCGTAACAATGATCGACAGAACAACAAGATGGCCAGAAGCAATACCTACTGATGATACTTCAGCTGAATCCGTCGCCTGCCTATATTATTAACGAGGATACTTCAGAGGATTCATCATCATCACAACCACCAACGAGGAAGTTTGAAAATCCATCATCTACATCAACCCAGATGAAACCTATTTAAAAAATTACGATACACGAGAGAGTCGTCAAGCCTCCGGTACGCTTTCGCTAGGGGGAGAGTGATGTAGCAGCCAGGCTTATCGGCAATAAGTAATATATACCCTGCTGCTACCATAATACAGAAGGCAAAGAAAACATTTATTTCCTAACTATCCCCGGCTACTGAGATACTGTGGGCTGCATATTGATGCGAGATAATTTGACGTATATATTTAACGTTTTAATAAAGAAACAAGAAACAGCCCCAAATATCATTCAGCGTCACAACATCTTCACACGCCGCTATCGTTATGTATCCGTCGACCATTTTGAAGCCGTTTCTTCAACGTCGCAGCTCGCTTCTTCTTGCTGTTCCGGAGCTGTGTCCCACCGCCGCCGCTCGCCGACTACGTGCGCGCGCACTCCTTCCTCCGGACTAAGTGATACCCCTAAAAACACAAACTCTCTTTGTGCCTTATCATGAGCGACCCTCTTTTGGGAAAAGAGGGCGCAGGGCCTGCACAACTTTTATAGCCCAGTCCAGCGACGTAGATACGAGAAGACAACACGAGTCTCACGCCGGCAAATGGAACGTACATAATAGTTGTATTTTAAATAATCTTTATTGGTCATAATGTATGTACTGTAATTGGCTAGGCAAATAAAAATTGTTACTATTAGTTAACTAACGACGTAGCCCGACATATAAATATAGGCGGGGTCGACGTAAAATTCATTCCATATTCCATATTCAATACTCGATACACAATTCGTTTGCACATAAAATAGTAGTTTCATTTCTCCGCCACTAGACCACTCGGAGTCTGTTAATAGTGGACCGCTTATCCCCATTATTACATGTTTAAAAGTCATAAAGATTATTGTATAACCTAAAACTAAGTTAACGTCCTTTCTCACTCGAGGACACGCTAATCATTAGTCTATAGGTTTCTCTGTCTACGCGGTCAACAGACTTGTTTTGACCATCCTATTAAAGCCATTGCATTTGGAATTCTGTTCATTATAGTCCTTAGTAATGTAATAATCTAGTCTATAAAGTCATTGTTGTATGTACTGAATTAGTTTTAATTCATAATAATCAAGTAGATACCAAATATCATAGGGACATTTGTTGTTTTAAAAATGTTTCAGCACCACTCCCGAAACTTAACTACGTAGTTATAAAACTAAAACATCTTTGTACAAAACCTAATATATACAATATAAAATGTTTTTCTTCTTTCCAATAGAATAGAAGAAGGTATTCAATATAGATTAATAATGTACATTGAATAAAAATATATTGAAAGTAAGAATAGAATAGCATGAATTTTATTAAATAAAAATTTTACGAATTTTGAATGTAATTTTTTAATTTAACACCGATTCAGAAGATACAACTGCCTTAGGAAGAACCAGCAAAACACAGTCAGATTAAAAAAAAATTATATCAGTTTACAATAATTTTGTACAATTTTTTAAATGAATTTTAATAGAATCAACTTGGTGGCCATCACCTTTTGTACATATTATTTAATAAAACATTTTATTGACAAACTTTGAATATTACCTGGAATTCTGTTGCAAAAGCGTAGGATATAAACATTGCCACATAAATTAATTATTAACTCTGTGGCGTTTAGTAGCTGGTCTAACATTGAAATAATACTAGTTTTTTACGGAATTTATCGCGTATATTTAACTTTTTAATTACCCGACGTTTCGTGGTCTAACATGCTTATAATATTTGTTCCTAGTGTTTAAAGCCTGAACATCTTCATTTTTATCATAGCTATTGATATTTTATGTACACACTATATTTTCATAAATATATTGCGATTCCAAAGTTAATATATTTATTTCTTAGAAAATTTTCTCCGAAGGACTCTTTACTAATTAAGTTATGAATCGCCTGTACGGCCCTTTTGTATTGGGTAAACACTTTTCATTTACTATTGCATCGGAATCCAAGACTTATTCTGCCATAAAAAGGGTTTTCACCTAACATCATACCGTTATGTATACAAACGTTCAACATAAGATATTGTACATTTTATTTGTTTTCGTATAAAGACAAATTGTTAGCGTTAAGGTAATGTAATAATTTCGATAGAGCATTATTCAGTTCGAGATAATTTATTGATTGCCATTTGAGTGTGATAATAAATGAGGTGCTATCAATAGATAATAGTAAATTCGTGATTGTCTCCTACAAGAAATGTTGAATAAGAATATTCAAAATATATTTATTGAAAAATAAATTTAATAAATGCTAAACAATGTTCAAGGCTTCAAGGATAGATATTCAATTACTTTATAAGCGGGCCAAAATCGCAAGTTAACTAGAGATTTATTCACAGTCTCTCTCTCTCTCTCTCTCTCTCTCGCCCGCTTTCTTTCTCTGTAGTTAAATATGATACCTAAAAATTGGTAAATTTAAATTTTTAAGTATGCCACAAACGCCACACAAAAAGCTAATTATCACCGGCTCGCCTCAAGTGTTTCATTTCTAAAAGAGCCTTTACTTGAATTAATATTAAGTAACTTGCTACGCGATTGTATCACTTTGATACCAATCGTAATCAGCTTCGTTTTGATGTTTAAATGTGTCATAAGCTATCTGGATTATCAACTGATATCGCCATATACATTTTTAATTAGCTTAATTACTTACAGCTTGTAAACATTTACAAGCTGTAATTTTTACAAACATACATTGTCTCATAGTAGAAATGTTCATTCTTTTTTTAATAAAACTAGTGTCCAAAGAACTTACAGTCCACTTGATGGTAAGTGGCTACTTTAGCCCATAAACATCTGCAATTAACTTCAAAAAAGAAGGTTAGAGATTTGTTGCTACCTCTGAGACCAAGATGGAATGCCTTATAGCCTGCGTTACTACGAGGGCGGCACTGAAAATTTCGGGAATCAAGGAAGTGACACAACATTACTATTTAAAAATGTATTTATTGCTTTTCAAAGTATTTTCCGCGAAATTTGACACATTTTTCCATACGATGGAACCAATCATTGAACCAACCATTCCATTCGGAAGTTGGGGTCTCCAAAATGGCCGTTTTGTAGGCGTCCACAGCTTCTTCAGGTGATGAAAATCTCTGTCCACGCAATTTATTCCTTATTTTAGGGAAAGTATAGAAATCATTAGGGCTTAGGTCGGGGCTGTACGGTGGATAGTCTAATAATTCTATGTTTTCTTGCTCTAAAAACTCTTTTGTTCTGTGTGCGGTGTGAGAACTCGCATTGTCGTGATGGAGGATGATGCGGCGGTTGCAGTTCTCTTTACGGAGTTCAGAAACGACCTGTGGCAAACAAATGCTAGCATACCATTTTGCATTAACCGTTCTTTGTCCCTCAAGAGGAATAGTCGTAACATGGCCGGTTTTGGAGACAAACGTGGCCACCATTTTTTTTGCAACACTCCGTGAACGAACAATTTTTGATCATTTTCGAACACCCAAACTCGTGACTGGATATATCCAGGATTCATCACCTGATACGATATTGAATACAGCATTTGAGGATCCTGCGTGGAATCTTTCGAGAGTTCTGATGCACCAAGTAACGCGAGCCGCTTTTTGCTCTTCACAGAGCGAATGCGGTATCCATCGGGAAAACAACTTTTTACACCTAATTGTTCATGCAAGATTATTTGTATTTGACTCATGCCAATGTCTAAAGTTGCCTGAATTTCGCGGTATATCACATGTCGATGTTCCTCAATCAGCTTACGCACAGCATCAACGTTTTCTTGGGTGACTGCAGTTTTTGGACGACCTTGACGACCTTGACGGGGATCATCACTGAGCTTGACACGTCCACGTTGAAATTCAGCAAACCAGCGATAAATTGTGGTTATGGATGGGGCTTCAGCACCAAATCATCCGGTCAACACACTGTTTTTGTGTTAAACCACTTCGAAAGTCATAATAAATCATCGCTCTTGAATTTTCTCGAGTCAATTCCATTTTCTCAACGACTAAACAAGTTTGATAAAACCTTGTGACAAGACCGAGAATCTTTTTTAAATAAATAAATGGTATTCGATTTTTAAAACCAAGGAGTTTTCAATTAAAAAGATTTTAATATGACAGGAACAGTGGAAAAATTCCATTCCCGATACTTTTAGTGCAGCCTAGGTAGTTCTAATATACCCTTCAGACCAGAAACAGCAGTGAATGTACTGCTGTTTGACGGCAGAAGTAGGTAACAAGTTCTAGATAGTAGTGAAGTTAAATTACACAAAAAAATCATTTTATTCTGAATCTGAAATTTTGCATGAGTAAAGAACAAAAAGTTAAGCCTATAATAATAAATTTTTCAGTCCCGTCCGTCCAGTTATTATTTACATAAATATCTTGTTTCAGTTTACAAAATATTACCATTATGAAAAAAGAACAGTTGTACAATGATTCCTAGCGAAAAGACAATTTCCGCCAGAGTTCATTTGTTATGCTGACTGTAGTTCCTAAATTAGCTAGGAGTACTATATTCAGATAAAGCCGGCACACTGATCCTGTTGTGAACATTTATTAATCTAGTACAAGTATAATAATATTATTATAATAAAACAATCCCCACGGTCTCTTAAAGGTGACTTAAGGAAAATGGAAAAAACCGATAACAAGAAGCGGCATCAATGGTTTTATATATCTGGTATTGCAATCGTCAATCTTATGCCCAGAAGTGGGATTAAAAAATGTAAGCAAAGTACTTACCATTTAAATGGGTAATAATAGCAAAACACTCTTTGACGACAACAAAAAATAATAAATACAACATGATTTTAGAACTTCACTTCTAACAAAACTTTAGAATGTACAATAGTTTTCACTTTAAGTTTTTATAGAAAGGTTGTAGCGAGTGCAAAGCGTTAATAGTTATTGAACAAACTTATTCACGAATTTCATTTTCATGTGAAGCGGCGTAACCGGTTACTGCTTATATATTCGTAAGACGAAGTGTAAATTTAAGTACACCATTAGTTAAAATAATTTATAACATATTAAAAGATTTCCTGACAGTCAGGGTTTTATGAAAATAACACACAGAAACAGATAACGTAACTTCTATCCATAAACGTATCAGACAATGACGATTTTGTGAAGAGCGCTAACCTCAAGAATGTGATAACCTCAATAATGACACAGGCTAGTTTGGAAGTTAGTAGTTTGGAATCTTACATGTAATATTTAGACATGTGTGTTAATAAAGAGATGATATTATTATTATTATGATAATTTTTGAGTGAGATTGAGAGATTCTATGGGCAGCTGTACACTTCATCGTTGGAGCCACACGCAAGTGTGAGTAACGATCCAAGAGCAAGTCTTACCCGACACTATTCCGATGATATCCCGGACGTCAGTCTGAGCGAGATTAGAATGGCTCTCCAGCACCTTAAAAACGGCAGCGCCCCAGGCGAGGATGGAATTACAGCAGAGCTTCTGAAAGCGGGTGGAACACCGGTACTTGAAGTCCTTCAGAAGCTCTTCAATTCCGTCCTCCATGGTGGCACTACTCCGGAGGCGTGGAGCAGAAGTGCGGTGGTCTTGTTCTTTAAGAAAGGCGACAACGCTCTCTTGAAGAACTACAGACCGATTTCCCTTCTGAGCCGCGTCTACGTGATGTTTTTGAGAGTCGTTACGAATCGTCTCGCACGCAGGCTCGACGACTTCCAGCCTCCCGAACAAGCCAGTTTCCGAAAAGGCTTCAGTACCATAGACCACATACATACCCTGCGGCAGGTTGTACAGAAGACCGAAGAGTACAATCTGCCACTTTGCCTGGCGTACATGGAATATGAGAAAGCCTTTGATTCCGTCAAAATTTGGGCGGTGCTACAGTCCCTTCAGTGGTGGCAAGTTGACTGTCCGTATATCGAAGTGCTGAAGTGTTTGTACAGTAGGGCTACGATGGCTATCCGAGTACAGAACCAGAGTTTGTAACCTATCCAACTGCAGAGAGGTGTAAGACAGGGTGACGTTATATCCCCGAAACTCTTCACCGCTGCGTTGGAAGACTTTTTCAAGCTACTGGACTGGAAAGGATACGGTATTAAAATCAATGGCGAGTACATCACTCACCTTCGATTTGCCGACGATATAGTCCTTATGGCAGAATCGCTGGAGGACCTTAACACTATGCTCAATGACCTCAATGGTGTCTCCCAACGGATAGGTCTTAAGATGAACATGGACAAAACAAAGATCATGTTTAATGTCCATGTCACACCTATGCCAGTAGTTGTTGGGAGCACTATGCTCGAAGTTGTTGACGAGTACGTTTACCTGGGACAAATAGTCCGACTAGGTAAGTCCAACTTCGACCGAGCGGTCAATTGACGGATTCAACTCGGCTGGGCAGCGTTCGGGAAATTACGACACATCATCTCGTCAGGTATACCTCAATCTCTGAAAACTAAAGTGTACAACCAGTGCGTGTTGTCAGTGATGACTTACGGATCTGAGACGTGGTCCTTCACTGCTGGCCGTATGAGGACGCTCAAGGTCGCTCAGCGAGCTATGGAGAGGTCTATGCTCGGAGTTTCTCTGCGTGATAGACTCAGAAATGAGGATATCCGCAGTAAAACCAGAGTGACCGACATAGCCCAACGGATTAGTAAGCTGAAGTGGCAATGGGCCGGCCATATAGCTCGAAGAACCGATAACCAATGGGGAAGAAAGGTTCTCGAGTGGCAGCCTCGTACCGGTAGGCGTAGTGTAGGGCGACCCCCACTAGATGGAGTGACGACCAGGTAAGACATGCAGGAAGTCGGTGGATGCAGGTGGCTCAGGACCGTGCTTTGTGACGTTACTTGGGGGAGGCCTATGTTCAGCAGTGGACTTGTGAAGGGCTGTAAAGATGATGATGTTAATATATAATTTAACATAAATTATCATATATTTATTCATTGTTATGCGGTAATAAATTATTATTTTTATTACATTAGTGGCAAACTGTTTTATTTTAAATTTTATTTTAAAACCTTGAAAACGTTATGTACAAATACACTGACTTCAATTAATCTTGGCGTTTTTAAGATAAATGTTTAATGCAAGAAGGTAAAATGTTATTAAATAACTTAAGATTCTTAGCAAATGAACGCGTTACAAAAACCTTAATATTTTATTACCGACTTAAAAAGGAGGAGGTACTCTTTTCCTCTGTATATTTTTTTTATGTGTTACCTATATAACTTTATTTTTATTTTTAGAAACGATTTTTTGATTAGAACCGATTTAATTATTCATAAATTAAATTAAGATCTGACCAGAAGTTTTTGAGTTATCCATACTTCCATACTGATATTATAAATGCGAAAGTGTGTTGTTTGTTTGTCCTTCTTTCACGTCGCAACAGAGTATCGGCATGGCATGATTTTTTGTATGGGGATTGTTCGGTGGCTGTAGAGTGACATAGGTTACTTTTTTCCGCGGAAAAACATCTACTTCCCGTGGGAAAACCGAATATGTTGCACAAGTTTGTCCTTCTTTCATGTCGCAACAGAGCATCGGCATGGCACGATTTGTAAGTATGGATCAGAAATACTATCACTATCACCACCTGTCACGCTTTCACCCTTAACTATCACTTAACTGTGGTAGAAACAGTTCTTAGTGAGCCTTATTAATACGCCTTAGTAATATTTATTGAATGGAAATGAATACAGTTCTTATATGTGGTTATAAATGAATCGGTATTACAATAAAAAAAATTGTGTAAAATTATAAGAAAAATATTTTTTGAGAGTTCTTATTAACTAACGTATACATAGTTATGTACTTCACTCCCGCCGTTGAGCCGCGCGTCAATTTATAGTGCATACGGTATCTATACGCTTAAATTGTTTCTATTTCGTAGCTTATTCGACTACCTGCTTTCGATTTCGGTTGTTTGTTATTTGCTTTGTGATTTGGTTAAGGTTGAATGGATTTATATTGGCTTTCATTTTTGGATTTGTTTCATTTTCCTGGATCGGTTTTGTTGATTTGGTTGGTATTCTTTTATACATATTTAGACTCTGGATTTGATTTTGAATTTTGTTTATTTAGAATCGTGAATTGGTTTTCGTTGTTTTAGGATATTTAACAATATTTCAAAGGATTAAGTTGATTCAATTTGTTTTGGCTATCGTTTTCGGATTCGTGTTGTGTCTTGAATTGGTTTTGTTGTTTAGATTTTAAAAAAATATTTAAAAGGAATATTTATTCCTTTTAGATATTTTGAATTTAATTAAAAAACTATTTAAAATGAAATTTAATTTCTTTTAGGTATTTTAACGTTTTTTTATAAATAGGTTTTTTGTTACTTTATAATGCCTCGCAAACTTAAGTCCAGCCTTTCATGAGTATCTTCTCAAAGACAAGCGAAAAGATTAGCTCGATCGCTAGAATCTTTAGAAGATGCTGAACTGAGAAGGCAAGAACAAGCAGAGCGTCAAGCTACTTTAAGAGCTTCCAAAACACCTTCTCAAAGTCAGCGAAGGTATCTTGGACAGGCAGAGTGTCAAGCTACTTTAAGAGCTACTGAAACACCTGCTCAAAATCAGCAAAGGCGTCTTGAACAGGCAGAGCGTCCAGCTACTTTAAGAGCTACTGAAACACCTGCTCAAAGTCAGCAAAGGCTATTCGAACAAGTGGAACGTCAGGCCGCCTTAAGAGCCGCGGAAACACCTGATGAAACTCAACACAGACTCATTAAGCAAGCTGAACGTCAATCTATCTACTATAAGAGCATCTGAAACAGACAGAACAGACACAGGCGCGAAGAGATGCAAATGCACAGCTTCAAGCTGAACGTCGACAAAATTTTCAAAGAAACAATTGGTCAGTTTTTAATGAAGCTGCATTCAATTATGATCCGTTGATTGATTATAAAAATCACAGGTTAGTTGTTATCGGACTGATGGACCAGGCGTGTCGATTTTGCAGCGCTTTAAAATGGAAAGATGAGACCGCAGGCATGTGCTGTTCCAATGGCAAAGTGTCTCTTCCGTTACTTGGGGAACCAGAAGAACCTTTGAAACTCTCTTTTTATATGATGCTAATGACTGACGGCGCTTTTTAAACAGGATCCGGGAATATAACTCATGCTTTCAAATGACGTCCTTCGGAGTTAACCGGGAAATAATAATGCCGAGATTTTCGTCTACATTTACGGTGCAAGGGCAAATTTATCATAGAATAGGTTCACTTTTTCCAGCCGAAAATGAACAGCATAAATTTTTACTATTATATTTTATGGGTGACGAAGAAATTGAAATGAAATCCGGGGAGTTGAGAGAGACAAGGTGTTTAAAATTCAAAGATTCTTGCATGAACGTAACATTTTAGTCAAAGCATTTAAAACTGCTTTAGAAAACCTACCTGAAGAGGATTATAAATTCGTTATTCACGCAGATCGGGACCCTCGAGGAGAGCATGAAAGGCGCTACTATGCACCTTTGATAAACGAAATAGCAGCCGTAGTTAGTGGTGATCTATTTTCTTCACGAGACATTGTCTTGCGATCACGTGATGATACATTGCAACGGGTAGCCGATACACACAAGTTTTATGACGCTCTGCAATACCCATTGATTTATTGCAAAGGACAAGAAGGTTTTCATACTCAAATTCCACTCATTAACCTGGTCACGAAGTAGCCTACTCCGAACAAAAAGTATCATGTATGGATTTTGAGGATTGCTGAGGCCCGTCTAGCAACGCTGAATGTATGTGGAATAATGAATGATAAGATGGATGAAGTATGCGATATGATGTATGATAGAGGAATAGATA